AAAAAGTTGGTAGGTGCGGGTGGGGGGGGAGCCACTCTTGTCACTGCGGTGGGTTGGCACTGGTGGGGAGGGGACCCGCAGGTTGTTCTCCAGACCGGTGACAGGTCTGTAGGTGTCGGGCTGTGTGTGACCTGCTGAGGATGCTTGTGGGGCAGGGAGGCGGGAGGCGTGGTGTGTCAGCCCTCAGGTTTTTTGTAGCAGTCACTCACTGGATCACACTGTCTGTAGAAGTGGCCATCAAATTGGGGTGCCCACACGTGTCAATGGATCTCATCATCGTGAAGAAACTTTATCTGCTAAAGGGGATCTGAATTTCACCCGAAAGGGAGGGTCCTTGGAAGCAGAGAGGCTTGTCCCCGCAACGTTCCATCTCCAAAGGCAGATAACTGGCTTCTCTGCAGTCTGCTCTAGAGGGAAGTTCTTGGACCAGCGTTCCCATCCCCAGTACAGACCACAGGGGAGATGTTTCAAAGTGGGGTGCAGGAGTGGCTGAAGCAGTCTCCAGCCCAAACTTCCCCCTCCTTAGCTCTTTACCCAAGCAAGTTCCCTGCCCCACCGAGCGGGACGAGGACGGGGACGGGGCAGTGGGAGCGGAGGGTGCACCCTGAGTGCCCGCCCTGGCATTAGGGTTTCCCAGACGTGCGTGGAGACACTGCCTCCAATCATTGAAGTACCAATGAGCAGAACCTGATCCAGCTGTTGGTGTCCGAACACCAGGCTGTCAGGAAGGGCAGGTAGGAGCGAGACGCCGATTCCTCCCCATCTCCCGGTTTCGTTGGGACAGTTTCATTAGGAGCTGCGGGGGGACGGGCGCTCTCGAGGCTGTGCGCAGTGGTGGGTCTGGTGTGACGGAGTGGTGTTTCCAAGAGGAAAGGCTTTGCTGGTGGCTTGTGGGCTGGAAGATCATCGAATCATAGAATCATCAAGGTTGGAAAAGACCTCTAAGATCATCAAGTCCAGCAGTCCAAGGTCACGACTGCAGCTGCGAAGGGGATACAGGTTGATATTAGAGCAAAGTGAGTATGTGCAGACGAAGGAAGGGAGAAGACGGATCACATTTGTTGGACTTGGATCTGTGGGGTTGTTTTTTTAGTAATGGTTCAAATCGAGTGACTTGTTGCCGTTGTGAAGCAGCTGGAGTTGAAGAGACATTCGTACAGGGAGATGGAGGTGTTGAGCAGAGCTGAGGATGGGTGCCAGGATTACATGCCCGCTATTGCCTGCCCAGGTGAGAGGGAGGTAGAGAGCATTTAATAACCGAACGCGCGAACGCAGGCTGTGCTGGAGATAAACACGCTCCTTTCTATCGCCGGAACAGTTAATGCCATTTAAATACATCTGAAGTACAAAATGCTGTGCTGTGGAGCACCACTCCTTGTTTATCTGGCGGGTGGCCGTGGCCTGCTAAACCCTCCTGCCCCGCGGTACTCCCACGGTTTGTGGAGATTAAAAGCAGCCACAACGCGCGAGGCGTTTTCTGCACGTCCAAGGCGAGGGCGTACCCTCGGACACGTTCGCACTGTAGAAGGACAAATGGCTCAACATGGGCGGTCAGGAATTCACTGTAAATGCAAAAGGCTTTGAGATGTACAGCCAGTTTGCGCTGGTTTTGTCTTTGCTGCCTGCTCAGGTGGGGGTCCGTGGGGATGAGGAGACGGAGCAGTCCTGCCCTGGCAAACGCCGCAGGAATCAGGTGGCAGGCAGAGGGCTGAGGCAGGTCCTGTTGCTGAAGCAAGACCATCGCCTTATCTTCAAGGCTTGCTTTCCCAGGGCCGGCCGTGCGTGGCTGGCTGGGCCGGCCGGCGGCGCCCCGGCACCCGAATTTCTAGTTTCCTGCACCTTTTTCCAAGCTTTTCTCCGTTTGCCTTTGGGGATTTTGTGCCTGTAGCAATGTAATGTACCACAGCTTTTTTTTTTTTTTCCCCTTCTTTTTTCTCTTTTTTTTTATTGTGGAGGGAGGGGTAGGAGTAGGGTGAGAACCGTGGCTATGGAGATGCAGGTAGATAAAGGTAATTACTTAAACATATATAGGGCAGGACTTACTGGTTTGGAGACCCAGATTAAGATGCAGAGGAGCATGTGAGGTTGATGATTATATTTCGGGGAGAGTTAATTGACGGAAGGTGAAGGCAGACAAAGAACCGCTGCTTACTGCCTTCTTGAATCCCAATCAGGAATTATGATTAAAGACGCGGCGAGACAACAGAGGCCTGATGAATTGGTGTCTTTTTTTTTTCTTTTTTGCCGTCATTCACACTTGATTGACTTCAACCTTTCAAGTGCAAAAGTCTCTCTTTTCCATTATTATTCATAGCCATCTGAGTTTTTCTAATTAAAGTGTATGAAAACAATTACTGATCCGTCGTACGGAGTGTGGTAGTGGGGATGGCTGCCTTACTGTAATGCGTATAAAAAGCCCACAGTTTTCTATAATGATGTGCAGCTGAGGTGTTAGATAATTTTATTCTTTTTCTACTCTGTTGGGGTTTTTTTTAATTTCTCATGATTTATTTTTCATAATTCCTAAAGATCCTAGGAAAGCACTCTCCCTGCTGATAAAGCTGAGAGGGACGGCTCCTTTCTGCCTTTCTTCCTCGGCATCCGTGCTCATCCCCCTCCTCCGAGCCCGGCTACCGGGAATTAACCAGTGACCTTTCACGTCTCCTGACCCACCACCCACAGCCATCAGATATTCCCGCTCAGAGTAAAAGGTGGAATGAATTTGGTGTGCTCGGCTTCCCTCCTGGTGATTTATCAGTGTCAGCCGCCTTTCCTGCGGATGTCTGCGGGACCCGGCGCCCACCTCCGTGCACCGGCCGTCCCAGTAAAGGGAGGGAGCTCAGCAGCCCTCCCCAGCGCGGTTCGCATGTCTGCAGCCACTCCAATGCGTGCGTTTGTTTCTGAGGTTTTTCATGAGCTGTTTTTGCTTCCATTCACTTAGTGAAGCCAAGGTCTAGCCTGTATTTGCTTGGATTTGACATGCGTGTGGGTAAGGAAGATTTCATGTCCTACAAGTAGGTTGAACTTCAGCTTCACCACAGATCTGTGATGTCTCCTGCGGTTGAGTCGGAACCTGGAGGTCCTTGACTTTGTGGAAAGCAGGGTACACTGCGTGCAGAGAACAGCCTCACTCACTCTCTTCTGAAATCCAAGGTTCAAATGCCCTCTTAGTATCTGACAGAGGGTGGAGAGATGCTTTTTGCTGCGAAACGTACCCATCTAGGAGCGTTTATTTATGCCTCGCTTTCCCAGCCGTCAGGGGCTGGGAGCACAAGCACCGCGAGCCTTGCAAGCCGGTGTTGGGTTCTGTTTCTTCAAGTACCACAGCCCCGGTGAGAGGGAACTGCTCCCTGAGCATCAGCGGGGTGAGGCGTGCCGCGGCTCGGAGCTGTACAGGTGTCTCGGTGGCGCGGGTCTGGCTTTCCAGTGGGAAAGAAGGGCCGTGGGGCAGCTGTTCAGGTGGTGTGGGATTCTGACTCTGCCAGGTCAGAAGGGCATTCGTTGTCCTGCGTCAGATGCCAACCACATGCAGAGTGCTAGCGGGGGAGGTCGTATGTTCCGCGTGTGACCAGACACACCCAGAGAAACACAGTTTTCCGGAAGAAGATCAGCGTAGGCATGTGACTCTTCCAAAGAGCATCTCTAGCCGAAGCATGCAGACTCTCCAGCTCATTAAAAATGTTGGTGTTCGAGCACTGCGCTGGTTGTGATGGTGCAGGTTCTAGATAAACACTTGCAGAGAGGCAAAGGGAACACATCAGTCAGAGCGAGGAAAGGGTTACCGAAAGCTTTTCGTTTCGCAGACAATTTGCTGTCTTCTTAGTCTTTCCTTATTCATCCTTTCCTTTGTCACCTCTCTCCTTATTTGTACTTTTCTTTCTCATGCCCCTCCTTTTCCTGCATCGATACACTTTGAAAACAGTGCGGCAATGCTCCCTAGTTCAAGATTACAGTGTACTTTACGAGGTATGATTTAATTAGGGGCCTTATTATGTTTTCAGCAGCTTAAGGTGGGCCTTTCAACTTATCTACCTAATTGGTTGCACAAGAAGTTTCACAGCCCATGACAAAACATTGTCAGTGATCAAAGTCTGAATTCTACATAAAGGAAAAATATTAATAATAAGATTATTCTTCAAGTGTGCACTGCTAATTATGTCCAGAATGTAACTGTAGAAACACTTTTGACTGATGTGAGCTCTGTCTAATAAACATGAATCTCCAGCGAGCTATGAAAAGTGACGCCTCTGACTTTACAATACTGGTGTCTAATTTTGCCACTGAAGAGGTTTAAAATATTTTCCTCCATTTTTCTTCTCCCCACATCCTTCCCTCCCTTTCTGCAGGTGACAACACCTGAGGTGATGATGCCCAGCAGCATGTTTCTCCCAGCAGCCGCTCCAGAGAAAGACGGGAATTCCGCTGCGGAGGAGCTGGGGAAGCAGCCTGGTGAGTGCGGGGCAGTGAGGTCCACGGGTCCCACCGCTCCCCCAGCTCCCATCACCTGCTCAGGGACCGTGTCTGGGGACGTTCCGCCTGGGTGAGCTCCATGTGCCCAGCCAAGAACCACAGTCGGACGGTGCCCTGCTGAGCCACGTCCCCACGGCAGGGCAGGGCTGGGCGGCTCAGATCTGAGGAGCACAGCTCACCACCGTGGCGATTAGTGTGGAAATGGTGTTGAATCCTTGCAAAGGAGAAGACAGGGTGTGAGCGGTGAAAAGCAGAGGTGGCGGAGGGCTTAGGGGATTGGTAGAGTAACGCCGAAGGTTGCAGCTCCTGGCCGCAAACTGTGCTACCACATCTGCTGTACTTGCTCTGCTGCCGTCATAGCTCAGGTGCATACGCTGGGCACACAGTCTGGGGGGGCTTTGAGCTGCGGAGGTCCTTATCCAGCCCAGATCTCCTCTGCCTTTTTCGCTGCCATGCTGTGTTACGAAGGCATTGCTGTAAATCCGTCGCCGTTTAGTCCTGGCTTTGTCGTGTGATGTGAGAGCGTCCCAAGAACGTCATTCTGCGTGGGCAGAAATGCCTGAGCTCAAACCTGGCAGGGAAGCAATGCTGATCTTCCTTCTGTCCCCTCTTGGAAGGTCTGTGAGGAATCTGGGAATGAAGATAGCCAGCGATTCCTTTCAGGCGGACGGCGCTAAGGCAGAGATGCCGGTGGGGCAGCACCGGCACAGCCAGTGTAGTTGATGCTGCGCTGGGCGGTGGGATCCCTGTTTTGGCCTCTGCCCGTATCACGCTGTCTTTTCTGGCAGGACTCTGCTCTTAGACCCTGGAAAAGTGACAGTGCAGTGAGTGCTTGTTGCGTCCTCTCCCATCCTCCCTCAGACAACACCCTCTGAGCTGCTGCCAGCAGGACCTGAATTTCATTGCTGTTGCTTCTAGCTTTGGTGGGACCAAGACTCAAATACTACGTTCGGTTTCATGAACCTTCTTATTGGTAAATAGGCAGGATATCAAAGAAAACAGCAAAGACAGACAGGTGGCTGAATGGCCTTCAATTAAAACGAAGAATTAAAGATGATAAACGCACTAAGAGAACGCGCGTGTGTGAATAATTTCCAGATATTCAAAGTGGGAAAGAAAGTAAATTGTGTAGGTTTATGCAGTGGGCCATGATGAGAGTAATGGGCTGGTATTGAGAGAAATGAATGAAGACAGAGGTTTAGATTGGATATTAGGAAAAATTTCTTTACTGAAAGAGTGGTCAGGCATTGGAACAGGCTGCCCAGGGCAGTGGTGGAGTCACCATCCCTGGAGGGGTTCAAAAAATGTGTAGATACAGCACTTCAGGACGTGGTTTAGCAGGCATGGTGGGGTTGGGTGGACGGTTGGACCTGATGATCTTAGTGCTCTTTTCCAACCTTAATGATTCTGTGATTCTAAATACCTGTCATCTTGCAGAGAAAAAAACACAGTCGTATTGGGGATGCAAAGAGGGTGTTGATCAGCCTTGTGTGCTGGTGTAATCTTCAGGTCTGCTCTGATTTTGTTTTCACAGAGATCTCTGAGGACTCAGGAAAGAGTCTTCTGCCATCGGAAAGCGCGGAGCACAGCGGCGATCCCAAGGTGGTTCCGGCCGACCAGAGCTCTGCCAGGGATGACTCCGGCTTCCTCTGCTGGAAGAAGGGCTGCAACCAGGTGTTCAAGAGCTCGGCAGCCCTGCAGACGCACTTCAACGAAGTTCACGCAAAGCGGCCTCAACTGCCCGTGTCCGATCGGCACGTCTACAAGTACCGTTGTAACCAGTGCAGCCTGGCGTTCAAAACCATTGAGAAGCTGCAGCTCCATTCCCAGTACCACGTCATCCGGGCGGCCACGATGTGCTGCCTCTGCCAGCGCAGCTTCCGAACCTTCCAGGCCCTGAAGAAGCACCTGGAGACCAGCCATCTGGAGCTGAGCGAGGCCGACATTCAGCAGCTGTATGGTGGCCTCTTGGTCAACGGGGACCTCCTCGCTATGGGCGATCCGTCCCTTGCAGAAGACCACACTATAATAGTTGAGGAAGACAAGGAGGAGGAGAGCGACTTGGAAGATAAGCAGAGCCCGACAGGTAGCGATTCGGGGTCGGTGCAAGAGGACTCTGGCTCGGAACCGAAAAGGGCCTTACCCTTCAGGAAGGGCCCTAACTTCACTATGGAGAAATTCCTAGATCCGTCTCGCCCTTACAAGTGCACCGTCTGCAAGGAGTCTTTCACGCAAAAGAACATTCTCCTGGTCCATTACAACTCAGTTTCTCACCTGCATAAACTGAAAAGAGCCCTCCAAGAGTCTGCTACCGGGCAGCCCGAACCTACCAGCAGCCCGGACAACAAACCTTTCAAGTGCAACACCTGCAACGTGGCCTACAGTCAGAGCTCAACCTTGGAGATCCACATGAGGTCTGTCCTGCACCAGACCAAGGCTCGCGCTGCCAAGCTGGAGGCGGCTGGGGGCAGCGGCAGTAGCAACAGCGCTGGCAACAGCAGCAGCAGCAGTCTCTCGCTGGGTTCATCCACCCCAAGCCCAGTGAGTGCGAGCAACAGTAACACTTTTACAACCACCAACACAAGCAATTCGGGCACAACTCCCATTCCCAGCCTGCTCAGCCAGGTATCCAGCGACAGCGTGGGAATTCCTCCTTTAGGTAACCCTGTAAGCACTAATACCTCCTCCCCTTCGGAGCCCAAAGAGGTCAACCGAAAGAAGCTGGCAGACATGATTGCATCCAGGCAGCAGCAGCAGCAACAGCAGCAGCAGCAGCAGCAGCAGCAGCAAGCTCAGACCTTGGCACAGGCCCAGGCCCAAGTCCAGGCCCATCTGCAGCAAGAACTGCAGCAGCAAGCTGCTCTCCTGCAGTCGCAGCTGTTCAACCCAGCACTTTTGCCGCACTTTCCGATGACCACTGAGACCCTCCTGCAGCTTCAGCAACAGCAGCATCTCTTGTTTCCTTTCTACATCCCCAGCGCCGAGTTCCAGCTCAATCCAGAAGTTAGTTTGCCTGTCACCAGTGGTGCGCTGACATTGACTGGTACAGGTCCAAGTTTGCTGGAGGACCTGAAGGCTCAAGTTCAGCTCCCTCAGCAGAGCCACCCACAGCTCTTACAGCAGCAGCAAGGTCAGCTGTCCTTGTCACAACCTCACTCCGTCCTCATACAGCAGAGCCAGCACCCTGAGAAGAAGAATAAATCCGTAGTGAAGGAGAAAGAAAAAGAGACCCCACGGGAAAGGGAAAGCACAGAGAGGGGAGACAACAACATAGCATCTAAGGAGTCTCTGCCTGATAACTTAAAGCCCAAAGAGAAGAAGGACTTTGTGCCAGGCAGTAGTTCGGAGCCCTCCTTACTGCCTCCGCGTATTGCCTCTGACGCAAGAGGGAACGCCACAAAAGCCTTGCTGGAAAACTTTGGCTTTGAGCTTGTCATTCAGTATAACGAGAACAAGCAGAAGGTGCAGAAGAAAAATGGGAAGACAGAGCAAGGCGAGAACTTGGAAAAGCTGGAGTGCGATACGTGCGGCAAGTTCTTTTCGAACATCCTCATCCTGAAGAGCCACCAAGAGCACGTTCACCAACATTACTTTCCCTTTAAGCAGTTAGAGAGATTCGCCAAACAATACAGAGAACACTACGACAAACTGTACCCGCTACGGCCTCAGACCCCAGAGCCATCACCCCCACCTCCACCACCCCCACCTCCACTCCCTCCAGCACCTCCTCAGCCTGCTTCTACTCCCACCATTCCTACTTCTGCCCCACCGATTACCTCTCCTACGATCGCACCAGCCCAGCCGTCTGTGCCACTCACCCAGCTCTCCATGCCAATGGAGCTCCCCATCTTTTCACCACTTATGATGCAAACCATGCCACTACAAACGTTACCTGCTCAGCTGCCACCCCAGCTGGGTCCCGTAGACCCTCTGCCTGCCGACTTGGCCCAGTTGTACCAGCATCAGCTCAACCCTAGCCTTCTCCAGCAGCAGCAGAACAAGAGGCCACGGACGCGGATCACTGATGACCAACTCAGAGTCCTTCGGCAGTATTTTGATATTAACAATTCCCCAAGTGAGGAACAGATCAAAGAGATGGCGGACAAGTCTGGATTGCCTCAGAAAGTGATCAAGCACTGGTTCAGAAACACTCTTTTCAAAGAACGCCAGCGCAACAAGGATTCCCCGTACAACTTCAGTAATCCTCCCATTACCAGCCTGGAAGAACTGAAGATAGACTCACGGCCTCCTTCTCCAGAACCTCAAAAGCAGGAGTACTGGGGAAGCAAGCGGTCCTCCCGTACACGCTTTACTGACTACCAACTCAGAGTCCTGCAGGACTTCTTTGATGCCAATGCTTATCCAAAGGATGATGAATTTGAGCAGCTTTCTAACTTGCTGAACCTCCCAACGCGTGTTATAGTGGTGTGGTTCCAGAATGCCCGTCAAAAAGCTAGGAAAAACTATGAGAATCAGGGAGAGGGCAAAGACGGGGAACGACGGGAGCTTACAAATGACAGGTATATTAGAACAAGCAACTTGAACTACCAATGCAAAAAGTGCAGTCTAGTCTTTCAGCGCATTTTTGATCTCATTAAACACCAGAAAAAGCTTTGTTACAAAGATGAGGATGAGGATGGACAGGACGATAGTCAGAATGAAGACTCTATGGATGCAATGGAGCTCTTGACTCCAACCAGTTCCTCCTGCAGCACACCAATGCCCTCACAAGCTTACAGCACACCTACGTCTTCAGCCAATGCAACCTCCTCAACTTTTCTGCAGCTCACGGCAGAGGCAGATGATTCCTCCACCTATAGTTCTAAAGTAGAAGCTACAGATGAGAAACCAAAGCAGTCTGAACCTCCAAGTACACAGCAAAACCAAACTCAAGAGAAGCAAGTGCAACCAAAGCAAGAGTCTCAGCAGCAACAGGACCAAGGAGAACAAAAGACAAGTTCAGCACACCAAAAGATTTCACAGCTATCCTCGCCCTCTTCATTGCAACAGCCACCTCCCCCTCCTCAGCCCCCTCAGTGCTCCTTGTCACAGTCAAGCCCAAGTCCATCTCAGCTCTCGCATCTGTCCCTCAAACCCATTCACACATCCACCCCTCAACAGCTGGCAAACCTACCTCCTCAGCTAATCCCATACCAGTGTGACCAGTGTAAGCTGGCATTTCCTTCCTTTGAGCATTGGCAGGAGCATCAGCAGCTTCATTTTCTGAGTGCACAGAACCAGTTTATCCACCCCCCCTTCCTGGACAGAACGCTGGATATGCCGTTCATGCTTTTTGATCCCAGTAATCCACTACTTGCGAGCCAGCTGCTGTCTGGAACACTACCACAGATTCCAGCAAGCTCAGCCACTTCACCGTCAACTCCAACATCCACAATGAACACACTGAAGAGAAAGCTGGAGGAAAAGGCCAGTGCAAGCCCTGGAGAAAATGACAGTGGGACTGGAGGAGAAGAACCACAAAGAGATAAACGTCTAAGGACGACCATTACCCCAGAGCAGCTGGAAATTCTTTATCAGAAATACTTGCTCGACTCCAACCCAACACGGAAAATGCTGGATCACATTGCACATGAAGTGGGCTTGAAGAAACGCGTGGTGCAAGTTTGGTTTCAGAACACTCGTGCACGGGAAAGGAAGGGGCAGTTCAGAGCTGTAGGGCCTGCCCAAGCCCATAGACGGTGTCCCTTCTGCCGGGCTCTCTTTAAAGCAAAGACAGCTCTTGAAGCTCATATACGATCCCGTCACTGGCACGAGGCCAAGAGAGCTGGATACAACTTGACGTTGTCTGCTATGCTCTTGGATTGTGATGGGGGACTCCAAATGAAGGGAGACATCTTTGATGGAGCAAGCTTTTCCCACATGCCACCAGCCAGCAGTGATGGACAGAGTGTTCCTCTCTCCCCAGTGAACAAGAGCATGGAACTGTCGCCTCGAACTCTGCTGAGTCCATCCTCCATTAAGGTGGAAGGGATAGAAGACTTCGAGAGTCCCTCCATGTCCTCGGTCAATCTGAGCTTTGACCAGACGAAGCTGGACAACGATGACTGCTCTTCTGTCAACACCGCAATCACAGACACTACAACAGGAGATGAAGGGAATGCAGACAACGATAGCGCAACAGGGATTACAACCGAAACCAAATCGGCATCGGGACCCAGTGAAGGTTTGACAAAAGCTGCCATGATAGCAATGTCCGAATATGAAGATCGGCTGTCTTCTGGCCTGGTCAGCCCAGCTCCCAGCTTTTACAGCAAAGAGTACGATAATGAAGGTACTGTGGACTATAGTGAAACATCCAGCCTTGCAGACCCCTGCTCACCCAGCCCTGGTGCAAGTGGTTCAGCCAGCAAGTCTGGAGAGAGCGGGGATCGGCCCGGACAGAAACGCTTTCGCACTCAGATGACTAATCTCCAGCTAAAAGTTCTTAAGTCATGCTTTAATGACTACAGGACACCTACTATGCTGGAGTGTGAGGTCCTGGGCAATGACATTGGACTGCCAAAGAGAGTTGTTCAGGTCTGGTTCCAGAATGCTAGGGCAAAGGAGAAGAAGTCCAAACTCAGCATGGCCAAGCATTTTGGTATAAACCAAACAAGTTACGAGGGACCCAAAACAGAGTGCACTTTGTGTGGCATCAAGTACAGCGCTCGGCTGTCTGTACGTGACCATATCTTCTCTCAACAGCATATCTCCAAAGTTAAAGAAACCATTGGAAGCCAGTTGGATAAGGAAAAGGAGTATTTTGACCCAGCTACTGTACGTCAGTTGATGGCTCAGCAGGAGCTGGACCGGATCAAAAAAGCCAATGAGGTTCTTGGTCTGGCAGCTCAACAGCAGGGCATGTTTGATAACACCCCTCTGCAAGCTCTTAACCTTCCTGCTGCATACCCAGCACTACAGGGCATCCCTCCAGTCTTGCTCCCAGGCCTCAACAGCCCGTCCTTACCAGGCTTCACTCCATCCAACACAGGTGGGTATGGATATTATCGCAGTGCTCAGACACCGCGTAACTTGACGCATCTCTAGCACGGGTGGATGTTCCCTTGAGAATGACTGATGATAGGATACCTGGCCCGTTAGTCGAGCGTGTTTACTTGACAGCAAATACGCAATAGGTGTTTTATCTTTAATTCCTGGACTTGGGTTTTCTAGCAAAGTCTGAAATAGAGCAAGATCTAGACATGCGGTGTATTTCCTTAGCACAGGCTAAAAATTCTGAAGCACCTTCAAGGAAATGGAAGATAGAGGATTTATCAAACGGAACAGGAAGAGGACAATGTGCTGAATGCAGTGTTCATTATACCCTTCTTTTTGTTTATTAAATTCAGTTTATGTAGTACCATCCCAAGTTTTCAGTAATTCTGAACTCTTTCTAGGGATAAGTGTGATGTGCCTGGTAGCGCTGGTGACAGAAACCTGGAGCATCGTTTTGTAACGTACTTACAGTGACCTCCAGGACAATCCCGATGCAGCTGTGGATTGGTTTTTGAGCAATGGCTGGACATGACCTGAAAGTACCTTCTCAACAAACAACAGGGTAGTCGTGGGAGAAACCTGCTTTGTATTTTAATCAGATTTTTCTTGACACTACTACATAAAAATGAAATTTGGCATAGTCCTTTGGGTGGCCTGATCCTGGATATTTGACTCTGTTTTTTGAGGATGCACCTTTCCCTTGTACCTCGTGGATGGGTGGAAAGTATAAGATCTGGCAGTGGAAGATACTGCTCTGTAGACTAGCAGTGACCTAGAAAACTTGATCCAAAGGCCTTATTTCACCCTTGCTACATCCATGGCATCCCAGAGACGTGCCTCTGTCTGAATTGCCACTCGTGCCACGGTAATTGATGTTCTCTAGGAGACTTGCTTTCGCTTGGCAGACTTCTCTGTTTACATCTGATGATCCCTCTTCAAGCTGACTTTCACCAGGGCTGCTCTGCATTTACAGAGACATCCTGAGCACTGATTCCAGTGTCTCGTCTCGGCGATGGGCTGAGTCTGTCTTGGGCTGGAAAGCCCGTGACACCGTAACGCCTGGTACAGTTACACCATATGCCACGGTGCACCTGTGTTTTCTACACTGCGGCAATACAGGTCTACCACTATTAGACAGTGTCCAGAAATTATAACTTTCTCTTATTGTACTGAACTAATTGGCTAATGACGAGTTACAATCCATGGTGTGAAGCCTAAGTGGGATCTGAGCATCTTCCTGGCTTCTTATTCAGAGACCAGAGTGGTATCAGTCTCCAGAAGGACTTTCTGATGCTTTTATTCAGCAGGCTGACTCTGAAGTTCCTTTTTCAACAGATTGAAAAACTCAGTGCAGATGCTGCCAGGTAACATGGTTGTGTCATGTTAATAAGATTGCCATCTTCTGTCATCCAGGAGGTGAATCTTTGAATAAGCAAATCAAAGCCTTAGACAAAAGGATAGTAGCTGGTGTGAGCGGCTACACGGAACCTGAGCAGCTCATCTGACATTCACGGAGGGGGCGGCTGCAGAGCTGCTCGCTGTAAATCCCGTCGCTAGTGCCTGAAGTTTGTGTGTGGTTGCAGTGACTCTGGGTGCAACACCCTAAAGAGAGCACTAGAGACCCATGACTCAAAACGGGCGTCTCTCTCCCCCCTTGGTTCACCTTTTTCTCCGTTACTGCTCATCTCTTAAATATCTTCTGTTGACAAATGAAAAAGAGTTAAATCTCGCTGGATTTGTTGCGTTCTGGCCTTTCCAAAGATGATCCACTATCTTGGAGTCAAGATGCCTTTTTCCACGAGAGCAGCCGAGGAGCTTACGTTGTAGTGTGGCTGCCGATGTCCATGTCAGAAGGTCGTATCAGAGAGCAGAGAAGACCAGAGTAAGTTTTTCTGGAATCCGGAAAAGCTTTCTGCTGGGAGTTACGGCCTCTGCAAGGCTTTTTTGCATGGTCACAGAACTCTTCCCACGACCCCCAAAGCAAAAGTAAAATCGTTCTTGACTGTGGTTGTAGGATAAGCCCCTGTAATTAAGCCATTTTTAAAAACAATTGCTGTTAGAAATTCTTCGTTCAGGGCTGCTGCCCATTACTGCTCCTTGAATCTAGTCCTAGCCACATGTCTGCAGGGCATCTTTGCATGCCAGGGCGTTTTGTGCCATGCCCCTGTTCTTAGGGAAGGTACCGTTTCAGAGGCCAGAACTAGGCCAAGAGCATCTCTTTGGCAAATTACCTTGCCAGCCTGTCGCAGATAGTTCTGTGCTGTTTATTTAGTACCCCAAATTTATAACAAGAGCTAAAATTACTTTGCGCACTTCAATCTGTATTGTTGCCTTTATTTTTCTCCAAAGACCTATACGTGTCCTGGGGAGATGGGGCTACGTACTACGAATGTTAAAAGCAATCAGTGACTGCCTAGACAGGACTAAGCTATTTAGAAAGTCAAACAGACTATTTGTGGCCTTTAGATAAAGCTCCAAAGGTCAGGCCATCTCAGCTCAAAGCCTGTCGAAGCAGATAAGGCTGTGCATCCAGGAATGTTATGAATTAGCCGCTGCTCCTGCGCTCGAACCTCTCAGGGACCGTTCGACTAGGGAGCATCAGTTTCAATGGCATCTATCCATAATGACGCCCTTATCTGCAATCTGTGAGGCCGCTGCGCGGCGGCTCGCTTCATACGCTTCATACCTCCCCAGGTCACTGCTGTCTCGCTGCCGCGTCAGGAGCAGATGCAGGTTTGGGCAGGGCTTTGTGGCCGGCCGCGGTCGCGGT